AAAGCTGGAGATAATATTAGCTACGGGGTTATTAGATGTTTTACATAAGCTATTGTACATGAACTATCTTGACACATAGCAGGTTCTCAGTGGGTGTTAACTGAATTTGAATCTGCTTTTTAAGCACCCTGTGGCCTCGAGGAAAGAAAATCTGTCCTATCAAAAGGATTGATAGAGAACTCTCTGGTTGGGAGAGAAAAGGCTTCATCTGTCAATGCTTGATCCGCTTTGGACTATTTTTGACTTGATAATAATTTGCTTGTTATTCCTTGATTCATTGATTCCTTCATTCAATTGTTATTTTAGTGGTCCCTACTTTTTGTCAGGCAATAGGGTTTAAAAAGATGAATAAGACATGGTGGTTTCCACAGATTGTAGAACCTCGTAGAGAAAGAAAGGTATGTAACCAAATAACTGAGAACGATTAAACTATTTATTCATTAAAAATTTGCAACCCTTTCCATTAAAGAAACAATTAAAAAAATAAGATAGAGTCCCCAAATCTTCTATGATTTGTAAATTATTATAGAAGTATGGGTGATTCAAACTATATCAAAAACAAAATTTCCTCTTTCAACTTTTCCCTTTTGTTAGAGTTAATTTTGACATTGGCATCAGGACACATTTTGTTTATCTTTCGCTCTCACACTACATCTGTTACCTTCTCTGTTAGGCAAGTATAGAAAGTAAATCACCAGGCAAGAAACAATAAGCTCAGCATATATTTGAAACCAAGCAAGAATCTGAAACCAAGTTGGTAGACATAATTTTAGTTCTACCTGTGTTCATAATGCTTTGCATACGGAATACTGTATCTATAGAACTTTTAGCGGTTTTTTGGCCAGGCAGCATGGCACAGTGGGAAAATATAGGCATAGAATAAGTTTAAATTTTGGCTTTACCACTTATTAATTGTATGGGAAAGTCTTTTAACCTCATTGACTCTATTTCCTTATTTGTGAAAATGAGTGATAGTAATACTTATAATAGGATTATAGTGAACATATATGCCCACACATATGACTTCAACAAATATAAGTTATTACTAAAACCTTAAGACAAAAAAGAAAGTATATTTTGAGTCCTTGGATAACTGTACAAAGTACTCAAATGCTTTAATATAAATCGTATATATTAGAGGCAGAATTTGACTTGATTATATTAAGCTGGCAAATGGTTATTAAGGTTGTTTAAACTTGGGACACCTACTGTGACAAGGTCATTACAAGGTGTAAATGCCTAGCTAGAGTGGTGAACTCTGGGAACCAGGCTGGACATAGATTGGAGCCAGTCAAGATGGGAGTGTGGAGTGGGAGATTAAGCTCTGCCTATTTGAGGAGAAATATCCACATATTTGGAGTTCTTTTGTAAGGAAGAATTGTCTTCTTCTTAGTTAATTTATTAGTTAATTAATTTTTATTCATTCATTTATATTAGTATGGAGTCATGCATATTTTATATTTTAGGTAAAAAGCTATGTTCTTTATTTTGCTGTTTAAATTGCTCCAACTTTGTCCATGGGGAACTCTTTCAGGTTGTTTCCTGTGCCTCTTTGATGTGTTCTGACCCTTTGTTTTTCTGAGCACTTCTTTGCTTTTGGGGATTATAAAGTGCTCTAGGCTCATCTTGTTTTTTCTCTCTGCTCCAGTTGTAAAATCAGCCATCTCTCCAAAGAGCCCCGGTTCCTTTTGTTAGGGAATGGTATATAGAAACCAAAATCTGGGTCCTGTGTGTGCTTAATAAATATTTTCTGAGCATTTCTATCAGCTTGGCACAGTTCTGGGTGCTAGAGATACAACAGCAAAGTTCTCTGGATCTCATAGAATTTATATTCTAATAGATCATGAAATACTATGAACAAAATGATACCATGTTCATGATGCTATGAACAAAACATCTAGAATAATATTTGACTTATAACAGGGATTCAATAAATGTCAATAACTCCTTCCCACTCTCCCTCACTATACTTGCTCTAAAGTTGTTCAAACCCCATTTTTAGGGATTGGAGCTAACTGGGCTGTGCCGAGGGCTAGAGTCTCATGCAAGAGTGGGTGTAGAGATTACTGCTGTTGCTGGGCTACATGACACATATGTTCTTCAAAGCATGTTTGAAGTGTTCCTGTGATGGCAAATCAATGTCTATAATCGAGGATACCCAAGAGGTACAGCCAGGAGATGAGGCCAAAAGCTCAGAAATATCAGTTGACTGAAACCAACTGTGGAAGCTGAGTACAAGTTGAATCCATTAAGAAAAGATCCTGACTAGTCTATGAATGAGATATGGGACCTGGGTCTTTCCTGGGTCCTGCCTCCTTGGAATAGGAACACTTTATTGCTCATAAGCCTAGGCAAGGCAAACATGCTTGATCTCTGAATGTCCATATACCTGCTTTGCAACCTCCTCTTATTTTCTGTCCACCACTCCCCTGCTGCCCTGCCATGTATTCCAGGGTTCAGATAGAAGAAACCTTAGTGTAGGTATACTGTTGGCACTGCAATGGCCATGCTATCTCCCAGAGTCATAATGCAGAGACTGGAGTAAGCTGTTAATAGCTGCTCCCAGAGTTGAGGCTTACTTAAGGGAACACCATGTTTCTCTGCTTTCTACCTTTGTGTTTAAGTTCCCTTGGTGCTGGGTGAATGGGAAGTTGCTACCTGGGAGGGTCTATGGTAAGGAGTAGGAACCCATGGTTTCACTGGATATCCAGATTGTGAACAGAAGGAGAGGCAGAGGTTAGTACCAGGGAAGTGGCCAAGCAGAATCCTGCCTCAGGCTATAGACAGGAAAGTAACCCACAAGGCTAGAATCTGGGAAGGCTGGGAACTTGTAAAGAAAAAAAAGTGTGAGGGGGGTAGACAAAAAGGTATAGGACAAAGGCTGAAGGTGTTAGGGCTCTATATGCCCAGGTACATGTGGTAATGACTGCTGAATGGGTGAGCTGGATGGGTTCAGATGGTTTTCCAGGCCCTTCCCCAGAAGCTCCAGAAGACTAAGATTGCCCCTTATTTCCCAGTGATAGCAAATAATCAATAATTATTTATTATAATGATAATTATAAGATAATTACCTTAGTAATTATTTATAATAGTAAATACTATATAAATAACAAATGGAAATTTGCCTTCTGATGCCATTTTGAGGTTGTGGTACTTTTTAGTAGGCAAAATTCACCCAAATCCAGTGAAATGAATTCCAGCACCTTAAAAATTTTTGAAAAAATATGTTGATGCGAGCCTGCCCTTGTTAACCTCATCTTGAGGCCAGAAGAGGGCATGCAGTTGTAAAAGCAAGTTTGGTATCCTTGTCCCTTTACAGCCTGGTTCCTTGACTGGATACTATAATATCATGGAACCTAGAGGAAAACAAGGCTAAAAGGAAATAAGGGATGGTGTTAGGGCAAGATTATCCCATCTTCTATCACTCTCCTCTCATAAAACCTGTTCTCCTGGCACAGTCTTGCCAAAAACATGCTGACCAATGCTTAGGGTACAAGTCAGGAGCAATGCATGGGCAATCATGCAGGATAATGGTGGGGACGAGATGATTTGTCCTCAAAGTCAGACATAATGTCCTCTCACCTCTGTGCACATCAGGACACTTGCAGAGCACTGTCTGTACCCCGAACGGGATACTTTAGAAGTCTTAGCTGCTTCGAAGTAGAAAACAAAACCCAAACAAGATTTTAAATTAATTTCTATGCCTCCTTGGCAGCTATCATGTTAAACACAGTAAATATCTGGGGTAAACCTAGTAGTCACAGAGGAAAATGATATCTCACACTTCTATTTTGTAATTATTGCACAAAGTTTGCCACATCCCTCATGTTGAATATCACATAGTTAAATTGATTATCACTCCAGTTGAACATGATGATCTCTAATTAAATTGTTAGTCATTGTTCTGTTGCATAAAAATATTTGGTTTCTCAACTTACAAAGTCTGTAACAAAGGTTGCTGACTTGCAAGTTGATATTTACCAATGACTTATGCAAGGTTGTAAAAAATTAATTAGCAAAGGCTAAAGAAAAGAGTGAATAGTTTGAGACATTATCAGGTCCTCTGTTTAAAGAAAAAAAAACAACAACAACAACCACCTTTAGAAACGTTAGATTCAGTTTCTAATAGAATAAACCAAAAGAGCATTTGCTTCCTTAACAACTAAGCTCTAGAACTCTGCAGTCCTCTGGCATATATTAACCATGCTTAAAATTCCCTCTCTGTGCTGCAGAGGCCATATTGACAGAGCAAATAAAGCTGAGAAGGTGGCTATCCTATCCCCCTTAATGTTTTTCCTCTGCACTTTCCTTTCCCTCTCTCCATTGCCTGCTATCTCGTTCTCATCGTTCTCCAACCCCCTCCACGCTTCCTTATGTTCCCTTCTAGCCATGTTACCTCCATTTCCCTGCCTCCTACTTTTTTTATGTTTAAGATTTTATTTATTTATTCATGAGAGACACACAGAGGCAGAGACACAGGCAGAGGGAGGCTTTCTGCAGGGAGCCTGATACGGGACTCGATCCTAGGACCCCAAGATCATAACCAGAGCCAAAGGCAGATGCTCAACCACTGAACCACTCAGATGCCCCTCCGTCCCTCCTACTTTATAGTCTTCTTTTCTTTCTTCCCTTCCTTTTCCTTCCTCCTTCTATGCAGTGCTGCATAGTAGTTATTAAGAGCATGGGCTCCGGAAGCAGATTAAGGCTTCCAATTCTGGCTCCTTCATGCACTGAGTGACCTTGGGTGAGCTATTTAATCTTGCCCTGATGCCACTACCTTGGATCAGTCAAGAGTTGATTAGGGAAACAGAACTGCTAGTGTGGGAGGCCCCGCGAAAGTGAAGATCAGAGGGGTCACTCATCAGTCCCTCTGAGATGACAGGCATGACCAACTGCTGGAATGGACCTGTGAGTAGGGAGATGTGAAGAAGTCCATGGGGAACTGCTGCCTCGGAAGGTTTGCTTGCAAGCATCTGGTCATGAATGCTGTGTTTCATCAGCAGGGCCAGAGGTCCTCGAAAGAGCAAGACGTGGATTGGAGGAGAACCTACTGGCATCTCTATGTCTGCCACTGCTGCATCTAGCCACGATGGCCTGCGGAGAGTAATGGCGGCTGCTTTACTTCTGCATTCCGTATCTCACATGAATTCCACTTTTGGCCAAATCAAACCCAGAACCATATAGGGAAGTGGCTTTTTGGGAACCTAGGTCTAACCTAGCCAGGTTTTTGCAGTACAAATCACCATATGAGTCATTTTCAAAATGCAGTTATTAAGAGTTCAGAACCCATGAAGATGTTGTGAAAAGTAGATGAGACCAAAAACATAAAAGGAAAGCACTTATCACAGTGTCTGGCACATTGTGAACACCCAATAAATAAATTCTCCTTTGTTTTCAATCCATTTCCTCTTACGTTTATCTTCTACCTAAGCACTACTACCAGATTTCTCACTGTCATTGGCATTGTATCACCAATGTTCAGGATTATTAGTAAATGATGTGGGAAGTGTTACAATAAAATAGATATTATTTATTGAGTATTTAGTAGGTTACATCCACGGCACCTTTGTATGCATCAACACATATGATGCTTACAACAACCTTATGAGCTAGGTACCATCGCCATTCACATTAAAAGTTGAGGAAATTGAAGTAAAAAGATTATTTACTTGGCCCAAACCTCACAGGATTTAAACACAGTACCTGTTTGTTTACAGTGGAATAATGTAAGCCCAACCATTTTAAATACTCTGTTCCCATTAGAAGTGGGAATACCACCTGTAGGAGAATTATCTTCAGGCATACAGCACCTTCAAAACTTGCAAAGGAGGGAATCCCTGGGTGGCTCAGCAGTTTAGTGCCTGCCTTCGGCCCAGGGCATGATTCTGGGGTCCCAGGATCGAGTCCCGCATCAGGCTCCCTGCCTGGAGCCTGCTTCTCCCTCTGCCTGTGTCTCTGCCTCTCTCTGTGTCTCTCATGAATAAATAAGTAAAGTCTTAAAAATAAAAACTTGGAAAGGATCTCAGAATTCCCTTTCTGTGGATATTGTTTCACACAAAATTGGGGCAAATTCTAAATCTGCTCACTATGGTGGAGACTACCACACCAGTGGCCAGAAAGGACTTGGTATGTGGCAATGTTGGGTGAAGCAGCTTGGATCAAGCCAACAGAAGGCTGAGGGATTTGAGAGATGGAAAAAAGTTAGTTTGTAATTAGATATAATTTTACAACCTAAAACTTGAAATACTTGTTCTAAATGGACTCTCTGGCCCTTTTTAAAGCATAGCCTTGTGACTTTTATTGGAATGCAAAGTCCCTTAAATTACCCCAGCAAATAACTCTGGCTTCTGCCCTAAACTCAAGTAGAGACTTCAAATCTGCACCTCCACAGATTGTCAATGGGCTTGGGCTATCTCATATATATTTTTAAAAATTTAAATGTTTTTGGATGGGACTTATCACAGTTCCCATTCATCCCTCATGTTTTTTGTTTTTTTTCTCAAGATTTTGCTTATTTATTCATGAGAGACACACAGAGAGAGGCAGAAACATAGGTAGAGGGAGAAGCAGGCTCCCTCTGGGTAGCCTGATGTGGGACCCAATCCCAGGACCCTAGGATCACAACTTGAGCCAAAGGCAAATGCTCAACCACTGAACAACCCACGTGCCCCTCACTCATCCCTCCTTATCTGTCAACTAGCCTTACTTTACTCATCAACAGTTATATCTCTTGACTTAGAAGACGTTGAGTGTCTGATTCCTGCAAAGTTAACAGTCTCTAAGAAGACAGATTTCAAAGGAGTTGGCTGGTCTTGGATTTCCACTGAAAATCAGCAGAGATGAGGGGCACGAATCCTCTCAATTCTTTTTTCTACTCATCCGGTCTCTCACCTCTGAACCCATTCTTTGAAGCTCCTTGTCCATAAACTTGCTGTGTGGCATTCTGACAACCCCTAGGTTACCTTCTAAAAAATAAGACCTGAGTTCCCAGTGGTGGAACCATACAATTTCACCTTTGCCAAACATAACATGCATTTTGTAAACAAAAGGTTTTGAGATGTAAAGGCTAAGAGTGAAGCAGAAAATCTGAGACTATTTGTAGGTAGACACAGGTGCAATCCCTACAAGTGCGCCTGGAAAAAGTTAATTGTGTACTTTTCAGTTCTAGGGCTTAAAGTGTTAAAGTGTGCTATTAGGGAAATAGTTGGTTTCCTATGGTTTGGAACACCTGTAGTATGAAAATTTGAAGTTATCAGAATACGATAAATGATAGTGTATTAGCTATGTTGACAAGCGTGTTTGGCATTGAGGTTGTTGTCTGTCAAAAATAGTGCAAGTATTCATTGCATTTATTAACTGTCACTGAAACCTGGGACATGATAATGATGGTGTGGTAAAATGTATTTGGTTCAAAAGCTGGTTTTGGCATTTTATGATACGGATTGACAAAAGTTTGTGATATATAATTTAAAACGTGGGTGTAGTTAAGGTAACCATAGTATTTATTGGAGAGCACCTTTTATTTTTTAATTTATTTTTTATTGGTGTTCAATTTGCCAACATATAGAATAATACCCAGTGCTCATCCCATCCAGTGCCCCCCTCAGTGCCCGTCACCAGTCACCCCCATCCCCCACCCACCTCCCTTTCTACCACCCCTGGTTCGTTTCCCAGAGTTAGGAGTCTCTCATGTTCTGGAGAGCACCCTTTAAATAAAGATATGGAGAAAAATGGGACTATATAGAGTCTAGCTTGTTAAAAGGAGGCAAAGAACCTGTTTCTTTGTTACAAGAGACAAAGTTTCCTAGAAATTTGCATATTTCTCCCAGTGTACTGGTTTCCTGGTTTGTGTCCCTGAATCTGAGCATCATATCATCTTCACCAGTCTCTTATCTTCACTTGTATCATTACTAAAGATGCTTTTGCTTGTATGGGTATTTAAATCAAATTACTTTTAATTAAGTATAAATGTTATAGTTTTGTTATTCTATGCCCTGGCAACTTTCAGTCCCTGCTCTTAGAGACAAAATATTTGCTTGTAGTGTATGAAATGAGATGGCTGTAAGTACAGTCTTATGTTTTTAAAAATGCATAATAGTTGAAATAAAAAAAATCTTAGTAAATGTGTTGAATATTATTCATTTGGAATGCAATACCAGTTTAACACATAATTACAATTTCAGAATGTGGTGCAATCATGTCCTTAACATAATTAAGTAAATTAATACAAATCCAAATTCCCCGTACACTAATGATGACTTCTAGAGCACATTATGTCTTTCCCATCTTTATTCTCAGTATGTACATAAAGACCTAGCCTGTATAATAAATGCACTGTTAGAACAGTGGATTTTCTCAATTTCAAGGATTCTTTTGAGTACTCAGGAAAGTATGTAGAACCATAGGTGCCTGGACTTTTATAAATCAGAGCAGCCAAATGATTTGTCAATAATTTGGAAGAAAAAGAGGTAAAGATTATGCTCAATCTAGTGGAGAACAACAGTCTTATAGGAAAGGGGTTTAAGTCATTCAGTTAATACTAACAATAGCAGCACTAATAATGAACTGATTGAGCCTGGAAGAATAATACTCCCCTTGGACCAGAATTATAGCATTACTTGGGCTGTGCCCACTAGAACTTTCTACAATGATGGAAATACTCTATAATCTGCACTGATCAAGTATAATTTGTGCTTTCCAATAGCCACTAGTTGTGTGTGACTATTGAGCATTGGAAATGTAGCTGGTGCAACTGAGGAACTGGATTTTTAGTTTTATTAATTTTAATTAATTTAAGGTTAAATTAAAATAGCTATGTGTGGCTCGTGTCTGCAGTATGGAGAGTGAGGTTCTAAAGTGTTACGGATAAAGCCTCTTTGAGCAATTTCTTTACTCATTTATTGATGTACACATTTGTATATATGTTTACATTAATTAATTCTACCAATATTTTTTGAGCTTTCTTTGCTTCAGGTACTGGGAATATAATTGTGTATAAAACTAACCCAGATGCTACCTTCATGGAGTTTATAATGTCTCATGGAATAGATGAACACCAATCAAATAATCACACAGCTGGTGGGAATTAGGAGAACATGAAGGTTGTAAGATTATCCCATGTGGACGACTTCTGTGAGGAAATCCAAGCTTTTTAATTTCTTTAAAGTCTTCTTATTTCCCCCCAAGGAAGTGACCTCTGACCTGGGATCTGAAAGTTGTTTGGCCTATGAAAGGAATAGATTTTATCAGTTGACACTACTGAGATCAAGCAGGGTTGGTAGAAAGACATTTCGATTACATGGGTAAATAAAATCACTGTTTCTCTTTAGAAAGAAGAAGAAAAATATCAGGAGCCTGGTGTTCTAAGAAACATTATAGCTGTCAGAATTGCCAACTGTTGATCAGAGGATATCCAGGGAGTTTCCAAGTCATTTTGTCTCATTGTATAAAGGGAGAGACCCTCTGGAGAGCTTCTTTCTCTTTTATTAAAATAACGTGTAGAAAACACATGCAAAAACAGTTGTGCACACACCTGGGTACAATTAAGAAGTTAGAGGTCACGTGAATTACATTTCCTTAAAGAAATATTTTAGTATTCTTGGAAACCTATACTGCTACTGAATGGTAAGTTTCTGTTACAGACAAACTATATCTCTTGCAAATATGCCATATGAAACAGTACTGATTTTTTCCATTTGAATATTCCCCAGTGCCCTAGGATGGTTATCCATGAAATAGATGATTTGAAGCTTCAGGAAATAAAGCTAACCAAAAGGAGCATAAATAGTGGTCACAAGAATCTAGTTTGCATATATAATTCCAATCTCCCTAAAAGTTCTGGTTGATAATCTAATTTAACCATGAAATGATAAATGATAATTTGAGAATAATTATGTACTCTTAAATGAGAAGCCACTAAAGTATGGCAGCACAGAATTAAAGTAGCATGTGACACTCTCTGATTTTACTTGCTGTAATTTTAATTTGGGGTTTGGAGTCAGGGTGGCAATGCCTCTTCAGAACAACCTGATCCTGGTAAAATATCCAGATAAAATCTAAGAGAAATACACTCTATCATCTTCAAAAGGGTATAAAGTTCTATCTACCACTTCCCCTAGTGCCATATTTTATAATAAATCTGTCCAGTTTTATGGAATGCTGCCAGATGGCTGAGCTCTGTCCTTCCCCCCACCCTTTGCTCAATGTGCCTGAGAGCATCTGAATTAGGCTAGGGGCATACCTTCATCAAAATTATATTGCATTTAATTAACAGAAATCACTATATAACACACCTATGGAACATTCTGAGGATGTGTGCTATATAGAGCCTTGGAGAACTCTTGGGTCAATGCGGTACTTAATGTCTTTATTTCACCTACAAATACTGACACATATCCCTCCCTGAGCCTACATGTAAGATCTTCATGAGTAATCAGAGGGATGGGATACTGCCTCAAAATTCAAGTCTGCAGATACCCTGAAGCCCCTGTGCTTTATCAATTGTGTTTTCAATTTTCTATAAAACCCACACAGACTGCTTTCATCAGGATATGTGCTCATTCTCTCCTGAGAGGTAGGCACTGGTTCTAGGGAATTCCCTAGGTTGTTATTACCCTACATTGACTCTTAGTTTTATATGAAGGAGTTCCTGTTGCTCAGGTTTCTGTGTGTGGAGGGAGACACAAGGAAGCCTAATGGTTAGGGGTGGAGACTTCCCTTCATTTTACCAGTGGTCATTAATGGCCTACCTGTCCAGTCCTCCAGGCCCAAACCATTATGTTATACATTTTGTACCCATTTACATGGGTACCCATGTATATACATTTTGTACCCATTACGTAAGCAAATGACATGGGGAATACTTTAACTTTTTCTAATGCAAAAT